ACATTGAGAAATGATAAGGTAATTTCTAAGACTAAGAACTGAAAATTATCTCTAATTTCGTTTACTTCACATTAATACTTAATGCATGGCCATCCCCAAATTTAGATCCCATTCACTTTCACGCTTCTACTAACTGAATTCAAGGAAGTTTTCATAATTTTCTTCTACTATTTTAGAACCCCAAAAACTGCCGAATTTCATGCATTTGGTAGTCAGACTTTCAAAGTTGCTAAAGAGTTGCATAAAGGAACAGCCGAACTGGCAAAGAACCAAGTTGAAAAATATCATATTACGAAAAAGTACTTTCTTGTGATAAGCCTTCGTTCTTTTCAGTCAAGCCTAGCCACCGTTTATTAGCGCAGAGTGAAACAGTGAGATAAGGAAAAATAAGCAGCAAAACCAAATGATACAATTTTTCATTCGAAAAATTCTATTTTGTTTTCTGTTCTTAGATTTGTTGAATATACTTGATGTACGCTTTTTTACACTTAACAGTGACTTATAGGGTTTTGTGAATTTTTAGCTTCTACAAGACAACTTATAATAATGAACACGGAAAGCTCATTTTGAGTTTATCATTTTTTTAACAAATATTCACGTTTTTCAGCGTAACTGATAAGCAGATTAAGTTAGAAAGATCATTCTCGCACAATGACTAGGGTGTATCTATCTTAGAAACGAAATTATAGACGTACCCAGAATTTTCTTTCCACCTACAATACTGTATTTGTCTAGTTTTGCAGCACAGAAATTTATCTTGGGACAAAGTATTAAACACGAATTTGGAGTCTTGTAATGAGCTGGTAAAAAGCAAAAGTCCAGCGCGAGAGCTAGTAGAAATAAATATAGAATTGTGAGGGGGAAGTTTGAAAACTAAAAGTATCAATCATACCCCTTGGCGCCTGAATTTTCTTGATTTAACTTTTTTCTGCATAGCTATTAAGCTGTTAAATCATAACTTTTAGCTGCTGATAGTTAAGAAATCAAGCCTTGCAAAATCATTTTGATTGGAAAGCCCCAAAGAAAGTTGATTTTTAAATGGCGAAAAATAATCTTACTTTAACCAGCAGACCATCAGTAACCACAGCGAACCTATAGACACCAGGAAGACACAAATACTGGCACGGTATTTTTACTGGCTTTGCAAGCGGTACTTGAAACTCTTTCGTGAAATGCAGCTCGTCATCAGATGTAGCAATCTCATTTGCCGGGCTATACAGTACTTGCAACGTCAGGTCGAGTCCGTAGCAGAATGCATCCTCATCAAAAAGGATTTCCAGCGGCTGGCAGGCCGAGATGTTTTCCGGAATTTGCAAAAATTCTTTTTCAGAAATAACAGAAAACTCGAGTTTCTTTGTATCACCAACGAGCAGCTCGTAGTGACTGGATGGGAACGCGAAACAGCGACAAGGGAACGTCACATTGCCCATCGCACGCTGCGAACAAATTGATTGGTTAGCGTGGCGGATCTCGAGAAAGCTCGTCTCCGAGATATAGAATGATACCGCTTTGAAAATTGGAATTTTCGGGGGAAAGTGCAATTCTTGCAGTAAAGCAATGTCTGGAGTAGTTCCAACAACAGCAACAGAAGCAGCAGTGGTAGTGCTAGTAATGATGCTAATTAATAATGGAATGATAGAGTGCCGAAATACAAGGAGCATAACAAAACATTGGAAGATGATTGATCCAAGTTCTAGAGTTCCCCAGGATTGCAACTGCGGTAGCAGTAGCAGTTGCAGCTTCAGGATCTGAATGCGAGAACTGCTCCGGTTGTCAGGAGCTTTGATATCTCTGAAAGTTAACAGAATGGGAACTAAAATGAGATTAATTGCGCATAGGGCACACAACACAAAGCGTGTAAGTGGTCGCTCAATTTTACCACAGCAACTTGTCATCCATACCTAATAATGTTATAAATGTACTAGCACATTGGAAAGCAGAAGAATGCAACAGCATCAAAGGAATATGAAATGAGCAATATAGCGACTGGTCATTAACAACCCAAGGCAATAAGTATATCCGCAGGTCGGAAAAGACGATAAGCCCCATTCTATTCCCTCTCTTCCTGACCAAGACAATACATATAGCTTTCTCACCGCGTTTCCTATCATTTCAGTGCTTATATACTGGTTCTTTTTGCTCGATTTTGTCGCTCTCTCTCTCTCTCTCTTTCTCTCAAATTCGATCCTTTAGAGTATTCTCACTGTAGCATTCGAAGTTCCTGAAACAAAAAACATACTAGGAATCAAAACGAGTAAAAATTTCACGCTTTTGTGCTCGTAGGTAGTGTAAAGGCGAATTCTTCGCCTCGCGCCCCTACCCCCATCCCAAATGATAAAACCCTAAAAATAAAATAAAATAAAGAAAATGATGTGT